AAGACAAAAAATATAAGAGACAATGATAAACAACGATATAAATTCCATTAGTATACCAAAACATTACTGCAAAATGCAAGAGAGCACAACCATAACTGCAACAGTGACAAAGTGAAATACAACATAAATAGTCTACACCTCATATCAACAGGGTACTAACTTTGGTGAAATGAATAAAATGGCTTACGTTTGAGCAGACATATTATATTAGGTTGATGGAGATGTTTACTGCACAGATGAATCCAAATTAGGTAAAAAGCTTTCAGAATCTCTTTGACCTCATTTGGAGCTTTAAATTTAAACTATATTCAAAGGAAATGCTGATGCGCTGCTAAAAAATTTACCTGAAGCTGTCTTTAGCAGTGCACCACATAGGCTCATTTTTAAAGAAATTCTCTTTAAGCGTGTGTTAACATATAACATCTGCACCTGCTGCTCTCACCTGACTCACCTACAGTTATGATCTTGCACTCTTGCAAGAGAGGAATTCAGTACTTTTAATAATTGCAGTGTTAAATATCTATATCACTGCACTCTGGCGTTGTAGTTTCATTTAATGTGAACTACAGAACCCTAGTGAAGCTCAGCCCAGAGATCCTTGCTGAAGCTCAGCCTCTAGATCCTTGCTGAAGCTCAGCCCATAAAACCTTGCTGAAGCTCAGCCCAGAGATCCTTGCTGAAGCTCAGCTCATAGACCCTTACTGAAGCTCAGCCCAGAGATCCTTACTGAAGCTCAGCCCACAGATCCTAACTGAAGCTCCCCACAGTGGGCAGAACTTGTCACAAAGTTAGAGATAAAAAGCCCACCCATTTTGAGTCTCTCATTGAACTACTATTGCTTGGCCCTCTGTAAATTTATAGTTGGACCACCAATCTCCAACATTCTTTTCAGCAATAGCACAGGTGGCAAAACTCTGATAGGGAGACAAAGGGGCTTCTTTAAATTAACACTTCACATTCCAGTACAAATTCTATAGGCAGGTTTAAAGGGTTTATTTGCCTAGATTTGTGTTTGTTTAGATGTTGATAGTCAAAATAAATCAGTAGATGAAATTAGAACTGATGTGCAAATGTGGTTTTTGTCCTGCCTGGGCATAGCACCACAGACACTGCTAATGTCAACCTTACACTGCCTTCAAAAGTTTGGGGTCACTTGTCATAATAATAACATTTGTTATTCAGTAATAACTCATTCAGTGTAGCCTGAATTGATACAACAAAATTTAAACAAATAATGTATTCACAGTTTGCTGTATTTTGGGAACAACATAAATTTAGGACAAATACCTGAACTACATTTATAACGTTTATTAAAACCTTCTGCTAGTAAAGCTAGTGAATCGCTATCATTAGCCAATGAAACTGTTTTTCCTTGCAAGAGGTAATGTTCATTTTTACCACATGTAATATATTCTCTGCACACATGACACACATTTACCTGCATAATTGGTGTTTTTTGGGCTTTTTCAGTCATGCTAACTTACATTACATCCATGCACTAGCAACAGGTTTGTATTCATCAGACAATGTTAATTAGTGCACCATCACCCTCTACTCTGAGCTCTGCTTTCACATAATGTTGGATTGGTTTAAAACTTCCCACTTAGCTTGTTCCAACACTAATAAATCTTAATTCCAACCAACATTTATCTCACAAGATTTGATTCAAATAAGACAATGGCCAAGGTTAAAAAAAAACAAAAAAAAAAACAGAAAAGACTTTGTTGGATGACCAATTGTGTGAGAAAAGAGGTTCTCAAACTGGTCATCAGCGTCCCTGAGACACTTTTCTTCTCTATCCCAGCTCCTCGCACATAGGAGTAGAGCAAAAAATGTGACTGTCTGGGGGTCCTGGGACGTAAAGAATGTCAAATATAAGAACATGATTTTCACAGATTTTTCCTCAACCACTAAATATGTTCACTCATAAAATTAATGAGATTGCTGAACACTTGGGTTACGGGCTTCTGCTGCCACACAACCAAGCCAAAGGTTTCACTTAAACGTTTTTTGCCAGAAAGAAGGCTGCTGCACTCGAAAGCCCCCCAGCAGAGAAGGAACAGGATCTATGTGCTGAGCAGTCCACTTCACTGCCATCGGCCTCCTCCCCTGGAAGAAGAGCAGACTCGCCCAAAGGAACCCCAATCTCCTCCGCATCCGGGACTGCAAGCAAGACTCACTCTTGAACAAAGTTCTAAAACACAGCCTCCTTAATAAAAGTTAAGCTAATCAGAAACACAGCAGATCTGTGACACAAACCAGTTTTAGTTTCTGTAACAAAGGGGCAATAAAAAAAACACTGAAGATCAAATTACAAGTTTCAAAAGACTAAACATTATCCAAAGCTTCTTATGTACACATCTCCCCACCAATAGAAAACTGCCAGAAAATGACCAAACACTGGACACCATTTAAATTAGAGAACTGCAGGTTTATTTAGACTTTCTTCAAAATCTCAAAACACAAGATGAGGTGGTGGCTTCAGGGATGAGCTTATGCCAAAATAATGAACAGAACAACTAATGATTACAAAAAATGAAGTAAACTTGAAAGCAAAATAAAACACATACAAAAAGCTATCCTATCTCTCTGCTTTAAAACCAGGAGAAAAGGTGATGTAAAAAAGTGGCACTTGTCCTCTACCTCCCAAATGTTCCCAGAGAGTTTCACAAAATTTAACAAAGCTTTCACAAAATTTACAAGCAAAGGGAAGCTAATTTAATAAGGCTTAGAGTGGTGTGAAGAGTGCCGGGCTGGTCTGGACAGGTGTTCTTCGAGGTCATGTCAGAGGGGAGAGAGACTTGACTGACTCCTGAATTGAAAGCACGGTGACCATTTATATGCTCCAAAGTGGCCAATCATGTACCTGCACGTACAAAAAATGTGCAATAAGACACAACAGAGAAAACACACAGATGCCAGCACAAGGCACACAAAAGGAATATTACGACTGGACATCATAACACAAAATATAGAGATTAGTTAGTAAATTAATGACCCATACGACAGTGCTGCCTAAGGCTCCGGCATGTTACTAACCATTTAAAATATAGCTACTTTGAGCTAGCAGCTTAAGTCTGAAGTCACATGACTAGCAACATTTTTTTCATTACTTAAAATGAAATTCTCAAAAAAACAACATCATAGTGCTTAAAAACACAGCATTATAGTTGTATGTATTGAATCATATATAAATTGTTATTCATGTGTGTATGTCGGGTTAGTTGTTGTTGCTGTTTTTATTTTAATGTTAATTTTTTTTTTTTAAGGTGGGCTTAAATGGTGCACTTTCATCGCTACACCTTCCAGACACGTTAAAGGTTAACTATTACAATGCAATTCCTAATAGTCAATAGGGAATTATGGAAAGTTACAGGGGTGTAGCCACAGGCAGGGCTAACTGATGTAATGGTGAAAGATTATCCGCCTTTGCTTGAACCCGGTTGTTAGTAGGGCAGTCTTTGAATTTGAGGTCAAAAGATGTACCTGGAGGAGTTGTAAAATTGAGATCCCATCTCAACAGAGTAGACTTGTTTTCTACGATTTCTAAGGTCAAAAACAAATTAGAAAAAAGTTGGTGGTGGTCTTTTACAACACTCTTTTACTACAAAAGCTAAAATGGACTGTTTCAAAATGTCAAAGCAAACGTCTAACTTGTCAGTGCATTAAGTGCATAATCCAGAATGATTAGGTTTGGGCTTTTACATCTGCTGTGTTGTTTTTCCATGACCGCAGCTGTTTAATGATCTACAGCTTTGTAAAAATAAATAGGTAAATTCATAAAAACAATACACAAACAAATGCAATTGGTAGACTGCCAGAATCTTAATCGACAATAAATACTCTGCCTTTAAATGCATTTATTTTCTTAATTGTTATTATTATTAATGATTTCTAGTTTAAATATTGGTTATTAATCCTTCTTGAATGATCTTCTTAAAAATTTTGTTGTTTGAAAGCTTATCAATTTTAATTTTTTACATTTTTATTCAAATAATTATTTTTTTGTAATAAAACAATGAGTAGGCGGATTAGAAACATAACAAAAAACATAACTTAACCAAGAAAAACAGCCTGTTTGATTCTTTAAAATGATCATGTAAAAATCAATTAGGACTGTTTTTGGCATATAAACCTACACATCATAAATGGACCTCAGAGAAAAAAAAAACTAAATACAAGAAAAATGTAGGTTATGGGTCATTTAAGCCCAAGGTGACCCTCAAATTTCAAGTGCAATGAACACAGTAGTGTGTAAATAATTTCCTCACATAATCTGTTACACTTAACGGCTGTTGTGGCTTAGGATACTTTGCAGTAGGTTGTGTTGCATGTTTTGCCACCAGAGTGGGCTTTATTCATTACATTGAGTTTCCACCTCATTTTCAACAATTCCAAGCAGTGTTAGGTGGTTAGCAGTCTGCTGATGTAGATCACAGAATGGTCTCCTCCAGCACAGGATGTGTCACAGAGTAACAGTATTGTTTCTCTTTCTTTCATTTCACAAGTTTTCATACCAAACAATGCATCTGCCCCTCTTCTTCAGTCATATCTCTTATGTCTATCTTTCATTTAAGGGTAATTCCACTGAAAATAAGTTTTCTTTGGGGACTATTTTGCCTTTTAACACCCTTCTTGTCAACAAAATATTTTACTTGGCTGGGGTGCAAAAAGTAAAATGCTTTTGCTCTTACACTACAACACACATGTGAATAAATCATAATGACCAAGCAATTTACAGTTTCTTTTTGGTTTTAGTTTCAGTCTGCGTCAGACTGCAGACTCAAAGATGTTTCTTGGAAAATTAGACGTTAGCGCGTTCGGAAATTATTTACAAAGTTAGCCAGCCACTTTGCATGGATGTATCTGTGTGTGTGTGTGTGTGTGTGTGTGAGAGAGAGAGAGAGAGAGAGAGAGAGAGAGAGAGTTTAAGGTCAGCTGGTCTGTATTATGTGTCCCCTGGCCTGAAAACAAGTCCGTCTCCACCCCTGCAACAAAACTGGAAGTGAAAGTAATGTGTTCACTATAAATGCAGGTGGATTTATTTTCAACCATTCAAAACTGCAACTGCAACAAGCTAAAGAGACAGGTAAGAATCCATGCATTTCATGCTTCATGTTTAAGCCTGTTTGAGACTGTTTTAACCATATGCATACTCATAGCACAGTTAATTCCAGTTTTCTTTCATGTATTGTGTATATTAAATTAACCTTATGTCATATATTACATATTGTAACATATATATTACATATTGTAAAGTTTCTCTTATCTCACATTTCATAATCCGCATTGGAATAAATGTATGAAGGGACTGCAGCTGCTTATTAGTAGATTTAACATGTTTTAACATGCATTGAAATACATTATGTTTATCATGTTATAAAACAGCGGTGTAGGTTTCATTTAAACTTTCGTTTGGACACACTGCTCTCACACACCCGATCCATCATATTATTAGTGTTTTATGCTGAGTATTAATGTTAAGCGCAGGGGTGTTAGCTGGGTATGTACAGATCGGGGGCTCAGCACATTTCATTGTATGATTGTTTAGATTTTTTTAATTATTCTGTAAAATGTAGATTTTTTTATTTACTTTTTTTATTTAATGTGAGGATTTACACACCAACAAGGTTGGTTAACTGCAACTGATAAAAATTATTTTAAAAAAGATCTGAATAATAGCAAAATACCTGCTTTGGAGTGGAGTTTGTATTTCATGTTTTTTTAATATAGTTTAAGACTTGCAGTAGCTGCACTGTTTACGTTAACAACGTATTTCTGTTACACTGAGCCAAATGGTTAAATAAAACTAGTCCAATTGCTTGTTACCACATGAACTCATTTTTTTTAAGCAGACTTTTTACAGTGTGGGGTAAATTCTATCATAGCACTAGGTGAACTATCATAGCACTATCATACTATCATAGAACTATCATTTTCAAAAACATATTTGATAAAGAGGGTGCTGCACAGCCCTCACGTAATCTGCTGTGATACCGTAAAAAAAAATGTGACCACCCAAAAAAGGTAGCCCATGTAGAGGCCCATAAAATGTTGGTAAAGCTTTCTTTTATTTAGACTATCCTGGTACTTTGTACCACACACTTAAACTTAAGGGACTGTAAAAGAAAGGGTTACCAAAACGTTTGTGCCTAATGGCCGATAGCAAGACAATTTGGTCCTGATCCTATATATTAAGGGTGTGTACACATAATGCTGACCAACTTCTACATGAAGATTGACATTTATGAAGTGAAGTGACATGAGAATGTCTGTATCCTGCATCCTCTGGAGGCCCACATGTTTAGGAGAAAATTTCAGACAACCTAAAGAACGGAGAAAATTGCTTCATTGCCTGGACTTATTTACTGGAAAGACAAAACCAAAGCAATGTTAGAGAGCATTATCCAACATCATGTAAGATATTACACACTGGTAGTACGACAAATCAACACAAAAATACAGAAAAAAAGAAAACTGTCTGGTAATGATGTGCAGTCAGCTAAGATTCATTAAATATATTAAAAGACTAAATCATTGTACATTTAATTTTTTTTTTTTTGTAATATTCAAGACAGTGGGATAAGTTGGGTAAATCACAAAGCACGATGGGTGGGACACAAAGCAAGAAGTGGGTTCTACTGGCTGCTGGTTCCGAAGGCTGGATAAATTACAGACATCAGGTATGACTATTTCTTATTAAAGTATTAGTATTAAATTATTTTTTATATATGTGAAGGCTCCATACTACTAATAGAGATGTTTTCTTCAGAAATTTGTAGCACATACTATGATTCCATTTTCAGTCAAACAGAAATATACTTCCTTTTATTCCAACATAAATTGTTGTATAAAACATCTATCCCTTAGGCTTGTGTCTGCCATGCCTATCAAATGGCTCACGGCAATGGCATTCCAGATGAGCAGATTGTGGTGATGATGTATGATGATATAGCTAACAATGAGGCGTGAGTACATGATTTTTACAGAAATAGCTGTACATATTTGCTGTTTTTGCTTGGAAACTGAAATGATATTTGTGCAGTTGAGGACGGAAGAAAGACTTCAGCTTTTCTCTTTCTCAATAGGAACCAAAATCATAGAGGCGAAATCATCAATGAGCCAGGTGGTCCCAATGTTTACCAGGGAGTTCTGAAGGATTACATTAATAATGTATGTATTCAAACTTTCATTATTGCATTACATCCTGCATGCTGTCTGATTGTACTGCTGATTACTTGATTAATCAAGTGATTAGCTGATTACCAAGCTCTTCATGGACTGGAAAAAGGAATGAGCTGGCTCAGCTTCACATCATACATTGTTGAGAGTCAGCTGTTTTTCTTTTCAAAATCTCATTATATCCAAGCTTATTACAATTGGATATACATTTTGGAATGAAACTCTTCATATAAGGACCATTCTACCGAATTGGTGCAAAGTCAGAATTGAAAACACACCGTCAACTGATTTGGACGTTAGACTAAAATCCTTTTGCTTTGAGGGACCTTAGGCCTTAATTATATTTATTATGTTTAGCTAATCACTGTTTCGGTAGTGACAATTTTAGCTAATTTTGAGCAGAAATCAAAAACCCTAGTCAGTACATGACAAGCAAACACAGCTTTGAACAGCTGTACACACACAAAATCATATCATTATTATTTTATTGAAATATAAAAATGTTTTTAATTAACTGCAGAAAATATGTGTTTTGGTAATGACAATTCTAATTCTGACCTAATCTAATGACATTTAATTTGGGTGAAGCACGTACATATAAGAGCAGGAATCGTGGGTATAAGTTATTAATAACTTAGTTTGTTTTTGTGATTTTATACTTTTGTAATTATATTAGGCTTATTAAAAGTCATGCTTTGACAGTTTGTTCCTGCCATGGAAGTCCAGCAGGCCAGAATACAGTCTTACGTCTGGACAAAGTTTACTTAAGACCCATCTGAAGCTGAAAATGTTGCCTTACAGAGTTCATCATTTGTAAAATTACATGCTTGTTTGTTTGTAAATGTAAAGGTTAGGGTTTGGGACAGACACTTCCCAATAGAAAGTAGCCTGTAAATAATGATTTGCATATATTTAGCTCATTACTTTCTCTATTAATGCCTTGTGTTTAAATAAATCTTAACATAATCCTTGTAAACATCTAAGGTCCAAATATGTAACTGTTATTTTTTTTTATTATTATTTTTTTTTATTTACTGTGGGGTTGCAATTTGAAATAATTTGGTAGAATTATCCATATACAGTGTAGCCTGTAATCTCTATTTATACACATATTCTTTACAGGACGTTTCAGTTCAAAACTTTCTGGCTGTGCTTCGTGGAGATGAAGCAAATGTTACTAAACATGCAGGGGGACCAAAAAAGGTCTTGAAAAGGTAATTTTCCCTTTTTTACATCTATGTTGAATAAAGCAATTTAAAACAAAACACACACACACACACAGACACATTTTCTAAGCTGCTTATCCTTCTGGGTCATGGGGGGAGCTGGAGCCTATCTCAGCGGTCATTGGGCGGAAAGCAGGAAACATCCAGGGCAAGTCGCCAGTCCGTCACAGAGCAGACAGACAGACATTTACACACACTTACACCTAGGGGCAATTTAAATTAAATTACATTTAATTTAAATGTAAAACAAAACAATTGATTTTAAACTGGTTAAATTAATGGACTGTTTCACTCTGTTCCTCAACAGTGGTAGAAATGACACCATTTTCATCTATCTGTCAGGTCATGGAGGTAAAGGAGTGTTTGCCTTTCCCAACACAAATGTAAGCTGCGTTTTCATAGTTTTTAGTATTTGACACATTCAGGAAAAGATCAGCATCAAATATGTTTTCACACATTTCAGACGCTTCATGCATCTGACCTTGTTGACACTATAAATGAGATGTCAGGACGCCACCAGTTCTCAAAGGTCAGAAATAAACTATTGCAACGTTCTGTGCTTTTTACTAATTTTCAAAGAAATGTTATTCGCTCTGACATACATAATGTTGCAGATGGTGATTTATGTAGAAAGCTGTTTTTCTGGATCAATGATTGACCATCTCCCAAAAAACACAGAGGGTAAGGTTATTCTTATTCTGGAACTACTGTAAATGTTTTATTTATTTATTTATTTATTTATTTATTTATTTATTTGTATTCAGAGAAAGGCTTTTGATGCTTTGGATTTAAACTTTTCAGGCCTTTGTCTCTTTGCATTCTAGTTTATGGAGTGTCTGCCTCTTCTCCTGATGAGAGCTCCTATGCTTATTTCCTTGATGAGGACAGATGGGCATATCTCTCTAACGAATTTACTGCATATTGGCTGTTACACAACGAAAAGGTCAGTCATGTATTTTTTTTTTTTCTTTTTGCTTGACCTAAATAAAGCATACAGTAAACAGGAAATGTTTTATTCAGGTTTTAACACCACATGTATTTTCACTTCAAACAGTCTGATCTTACTAAGACAACCTTCTGGAATCAGTTTGTGTATTTGAGGGAGAAAGTCCAGAGATCTACTCCTCATCAGTATGGCAACATTGTATGTACAATCTTACAATAAAATGCAACTGAAATTCTCTATTACTATACTAAATGTTTCCATAATCCAAAAATGCCCTTTGATGAAATTTGAGTGAATAAAATGTATGAAAAGCTTTTATACAAGCTTACATATCTCAACATTTGTTTTGTTTTTTCACAATTTTCTCCAGACGCTCAGGGAACTGTACATCAGTGACTTTTTGGGTCGTCCTGACTCCAGAACTCAAGCAGAACGTGCTAGGCAAGCTAAACGTTTGAAACAAACACATCTCACCTTAACCAATGAAGTCCCACTGATAATTCAGAGGAGCAGAATTCAGTGTGAAAACAACATTGAGAAAAAAAGAGCTCTACAGAGAGATTACGATAACCTTATGAAGGTAAGGACTGACACCAGTCCCACTGAACTGATGTATTATTTAGTCTCACGTGGAAACTTTAGGAAACTCAGAGTTACACAGAGCAGATACATTTGCCCAAGCGGAAGAAATAAACAGATCAGTTTCACTGCTGTAATTGAACTATATGCATATAAATTATTATTTTTCAGATGAAAGAGAGAATTGCAACAGCAGTGCAGAACATTGCTATGCAGTCATGCCCTGAACGAGGCCCCAGAGCACTGATAGACACTAGTCGTCTAACTCAACTGAAACATTTGAAACATGTAGCAGAGCATTTCAGACAGACCTTCAGTAAGTGGCATGAGGAGCAGGTGAGCCATGGCCTTCATGTTTTTCATATTAGAACCTATAACCTCAGCTTTGTGATTGCATATAAATGATGTTCGGTACTAGGGTTATTTGGCAGCTCTTTATGCAACATGTGATAATGAAAATAATGAAAGTTTCACTCTATCTCTTTCTTTAGTATGTTTCCTTTGTTATGGCACACATGTCTGTCTTTGTGAACCTAATTGAGTCTGGAGTGGATGTTGAACGGTAAGTCAAGAAAACACATAAACCTAGTTAGAAAAACAATGTGAAATACAGAAAGTGTGACCTGAAATAATATTTAAATAAAATTTACTTTTGTATTGGTTAAGCTGACATCAGTCTCTACTGCTGTGTTAAATGAGTCTTAAATGTGGTTTTGTAGGATTAAAGACGCCATAACCCGTGTGCACATTGCACAAGGACCATCATCAGGTCGATACTGAAGTTACTGCACCCCTGAACTACAGATCAATTCCTGCTTGCCTGATCTGCTTGCTCTAGAAAACATCAATGAATGCGATGATAATGATGGCAATGAAGATCACATGTTGCAGAAACACTTTTGTCTATTCAGAAGGATATTTTCATTTTCAAATTTTTGGCTTGCTGGCCAAAATAAAACACCTTCTTTGCAAAATGCTGTAACTCTCACAAAACACCAAACACACAATACAAAACAACCTTTCAATCAAACATTGCAACTTACAATTAGGTGAGTAAATTCTTCCAATTGATCACTAAGGTGGTCAAAAAACCCCACAAAAAAACATCTCAATTTGAACCTAATCAATCTCATTAGTGTTGTATGTATGAGCTATAAAACCTAGTGATACTTTATCAGATTTAGAATGTGCCAGAGTGAAAGGATACCTGAATACCTTAGTGTAGAATATTTTATTTTTACTGCTTTTTTTTCCTGCTCTTGAAACAAAGGCGAGGGTGGTGGAGGTCAACATTGCCAGTTGTTTTGAGAGGCTTCCAAAGCAGGAGGTCTTTGCAAAAAAATATACTTTGAAAAAGTAGTAGTGGCTGAATACTGACTACACTGTCCTAAATGCATTCCATTACAATGCATAAAAAGTAAACTATTCAGAAAACATTCACAATACATTTAGAGTATATCTTGATAAGGCACATGATTTTTTTTTTTTTTTACTTAATTCACACTGTATAACTGTGTCCTTGCTATAAATGCTTGGTAATTTTCTTCTTGTAATTCTTCTGTTAACATGCTTCATGAAAAAAAAAAAAAAGCTTATCATTTAAATAAAGTTCGAAAACTTCTTTTGTCGTTCTCATTGACTGCTTCAGTCCACTGCTGCCCCCACAATCACCCAAGTAGGAGTAATTCTGTAATTCTCAGTAATTCTGAAATAAATAACTGAAATAAATAAATTACATATTGATGTAAATGATCAATGAGCTCCACCAGCTTAAAATCGGTGGACCCAAGTGGACCCTTCTTGTGCTTGTTCCCAAGCCAGTAAGTCCACTCTGTGACTGCAAGGTGTTCCTTAATCATTTTCTCAGTTCTGTTTCCTTTCAGATGCCAAATGGTGGGTTTGTACATGAGCCATGATTCAATTAATTACATGATGTTCAAGTGCATAATAACATACTAACTGCACGATTCACGTTTAGTGAACATATTAGTGAACTCTCCCTTGTTTTCGAGTGTCACCCTAACCCCTTGGAACTGAGTTACAAGGGGTAGTGGTTGAAATCTTGCCTTATGAAATGGGACCCTCAAATTAAAACTACAACACTGCTTCAATAACAGGCTACTAACTGTGCTCTGTATGCGACCCGGCCCATCTTCAGTGATAGCAGAGGAGGGTAAAGTTCAGCTCCTCACTGCTGGGTTTTAGTCAATTATTTATCATCATCTACCACAAATTCTTCAGTGATATGAAGCTCAAGTCTGATATTTACCAGCTTCTTGTTCGGATTTCCCGTTCCACCTTAAATGGTGCAGCAGTTACATTCTGGCACTTCAGGCGTCAGAACTGCTGGACTATTTAAGGTAGAATGGGAAAATTAGCTAGCTAGCTACCGAGATATTAGCATGCTATTAGCAATTTTTATGCTTGTTAAGAAGAAAACAACCATAATGCATTGAAACAACATTAAACTAAGATAATACAGTGGTTATCGTGATTTTTTAACAGAGAAAATTCTCACATTTGTGGGTTTCTTTGGTCTCTTGTTCAGCCATCTTGCTGGTTTTTCTTTTTTCTCATAACTCTCTGTTTGGAGCCTCTGAAAGACCTCCATTTGGTGGGTCATGTAGCCCCAACACTTCACCCTACCCCTCTATCTCAAAAAAAAATGGCAAAACAGAGGGCTACCAAATCAGCTGTCGGTCAAATGTGATCTTAAACATGTCCATTTTCTGCTTGTGCAAAGTAAGAAGTAAAAACGTTCAAATGGCTTGAGCGTCTCCTACAGCTGTCAAGATCATTGCTTAGCAATGGCGCCTCAACAGAGTGATATAGTGTTTGTGAAAAAACATGGCAAAATAACAGCATGGTTAGAACATTTCTCAACCAATCAGCTTGTGAAGATTTCCCTTCACTGGAACTAAAGATTCAAGGCCAGCCCCTGAAAAACAACCCCATATCATCATCCCTCCTCCACCAAACTTTACAGTCAGCACAATGCAGTCAGGCAGGTAATGTTCTCCTGGCATTTTGCAGTATTGTTTTTCTATTTCTATTTCTATCTGTTTCTATTAGGACTTTACTCTGTTAATGTCTTGCTGGTTTCAAGTAGTGGTTACACATTTTTGGCATTTAATTACAGATTCTTCCCATTCAGTGTTTCAAATCACTTCCTTCTGGGAAGCACTAGAGATCTTTAAAAACTGAGACAATGCTTTTCAAGAACAGGGTTATTCCTTCTGCAATAAGGTTAACTAAACTCTTCTGAGTAGTGAATATCAGTCTCTCTGTAAGATTTCCAACCTTTATAAAGATGCACAGATGAAATTACTGTGTAATTTTCCATGAGCTCTCTATAACAAATGTTGTATATTGGTTACTGTATTTCATGTTTGTGTGCTGTGCTACAACAGAGTTGAATTACATCTTGCTGCATCATATACAATTACCACTGCTATGTGCTGTACGACATGCTATGTGACAGTAAATGAATGAATGAATGAATGAATCAATCAATCAATCAATCAATCAATCAGTTTTGGACACAAAAAAATAGACATTTTTTAGCATTTTTCCCCTTTTAACTAACCACCAGGTCAGAATTTTCACACATTCACAATGTAGAACATTAATAAGAAAACAGCTACTTTTCACAAGTTTTGGACGTGTATAAAAATAATATTTTTTTGTTAATTGCAGATGGTTCACTGCAGCTTGACCTTCTGTACTATCATTAGCGTACATGCTTTTTAAGCATTAACTTATTGCATGAAAATCTTTAATATTATTCTGTTAAATATTGTAACTCGACATACCATAAACATACCATAATTTTGGCCATGTTTTTTTTTTATTTTTGTTATTGCAAGATTCACTATTTTAGTGGCTATATCCCTGAGAAAAAGGATAAAATGTCATATATACATATATATATATATATAAAAAACAAGAGGTTTGAAAACAATGCAGATGTAATTAATCATAATATAGCATTTATTGTATGTGCATAGCCCACTCTCAACAACATATATCACATGGGAAAAAAACATACATAATTTATATGTATTTAAGCCATTTTTACCAAAATGAAATGTTCACTTAATTTTCCAAATACCAAAGCTGCTGCTGTAGAGCGAACTGTCAGGCCACATCCCAGAAGCATTATTTCAGCCTTCGTGATGCCAACTTTAACACCAGCATCAACTCTCAGCCCAACCTTCACTCCAACTGGGCCAGCGGATGCCGATGCACTTGCAATGTCAGCTCGAGCCATGGCACCAGCCTCCAGTATATCAACGAAAGTCTGAGCTTCAATAAATTCAGAACAGATCAGTGATTACTCCAGGGAACTAGTGCAGCTTTGATGATATAGTGTCAGAAGCCTCATTCAAAAATACCGGCTCTGTAAAACCAGTCATAGATGTTTCAGTTTAGAGCAGGTCATGGGTTTAAAATGAACTTGGAATTAACTTTAGCCAGACACTCAGTGTTTTTTCAAGTCAAGACAAGTTGAATTTGCTGTCATTTAATGTCATCTATTTATAAGTACACAGCAGAACAAAACAACTTTCTGAATCTCTAGGGGCCCATGGTGCAACAGACAAGAGCAAAAACCACAAAAATAAAATCCAGTGAACATGAGTGCAGCACAATACAATATGTACTTAGGACAGTGAAAACAAATACATAAAAGTTATAAAAACAGCAGCACATACTATGTACATTGTAATCCACCACAAACATAAAATAAATAAAATAATTAGATAATAAAGTAATGTAAATCCAATCTAATTATCAGATCTATTCATAAAAAACAATTTGGTTGATGTGACATTTTAAAATCTCAAAAACATACCTAACATTG